CTAACAGGGAAAAGTGAGTATGCAGAATTTTTCTCTGGGATGTCCTTGATGCACTCACCATGGTCTTCATGTGCCCCAAGCACGATTTGTTGGTATTTTTTCAATAGTAATGTTCATACTATGGAAATCAGTAATATTGCTAATATCAATATATGACTATTGATCAACAACCCAGGGCTAACAGGGAAAAGTGAGTATGCAGAATTCTTCTCTGGGATGTCCTTGATGCACTCACCATGGTCTTCATGTGCCCCAAGCACGATTTGTTGGTATTTTTTCAATAGTAATGTTCATACTATGGAAATCAGTAATATTGCTAATATCAATATATGACTATTGATCAACAACCCAGGGCTAACAGGGAAAAGTGAGTATGCAGAATTCTTCTCTGGGATGTCCTTGATGCACTCACCATGGTCTTCATGTGCCCCAAGCACGATTTGTTGGTATTTTTTCAATAGTAATGTTCATACTATGGAAATCAGTAATATTGCTAATATCAATATATGACTATTGATCAACAACCCAGGGCTAACAGGGAAAAGTGAGTATGCAGAATTCTTCTCTGGGATGTCCTTGATGCACCCACCATGGTCTTCATGTGCCCCAAGCACGATTTGTTGGTATTTTTTCAATAGTAATGTTCATACTATGGAAATCAGTAATATTGCTAATATCAATATATGACTATTGATCAACAACCCAGGGCTAACAGGGAAAAGTGAGTATGCAGAATTTTTCTCTGGGATGTCCTTGATGCATCCACCATGGTCTTCATGTGCCCCAAGCACGATTTGTTGGTATTTTTTCAATAGTAATGTTCATACTATGGAAATCAGTAATATTGCTAATAGCAATATATGACTATTGATCAACAACCCAGGGCTAACAGGGAAAAGTGAGTATGCAGAATTCTTCTCTGGGATGTCCTTGATGCACTCACCATGGTCTTCATGTGCCCCAAGCACGATTTGTTGGTATTTTTTCAATAGTAATGTTCATACTATGGAAATCAGTAATATTGCTAATAGCAATATATGACTATTGATCAACAACCCAGGGCTAACAGGGAAAAGTGAGTATGCAGAATTCTTCTCTGGGATGTCCTTGATGCACTCACCATGGTTTTCATGTGCCCCAAGCACGATTTGTTGGTATTTTTTCAATAGTAATGTTCATACTATGGAAATCAGTAATATTGCTAATATCAATATATGACTATTGATCAACAACCCAGGGCTAACAGGGAAAAGTGAGTATGCAGAATTCTTCTCTGGGATGTCCTTGATGCACTCACCATGGTCTTCATGTGCCCCAAGCACGATTTGTTGGTATTTTTTCAATAGTAATGTTCATACTATGGAAATCAGTAATATTGCTAATAGCAATATATGACTATTGATCAACAACCCAGGGCTAACAGGGAAAAGTGAGTATGCAGAATTCTTCTCTGGGATGTCCTTGATGCACTCACCATGGTCTTCATGTGCCCCAAGCACGATTTGTTGGTATTTTTTCAATAGTAATGTTCATACTATGGAAATCAGTAATATTGCTAATATCAATATATGACTATTGATCAACAACCCAGGGCTAACAGGGAAAAGTGAGTATGCAGAATTCTTCTCTGGGATGTCCTTGATGCACTCACCATGGTCTTCATGTGCCCCAAGCACGATTTGTTGGTATTTTTTCAATAGTAATGTTCATACTATGGAAATCAGTAATATTGCTAATAGCAATATATGACTATTGATCAACAACCCAGGGCTAACAGGGAAAAGTGAGTATGCAGAATTCTTCTCTGGGATGTCCTTGATGCACTCACCATGGTCTTCATGTGCCCCAAGCACGATTTGTTGGTATTTTTTCAATAGTAATGTTCATACTATGGAAATCAGTAATATTGCTAATAGCAATATATGACTATTGATCAACAACCCAGGGCTAACAGGGAAAAGTGAGTATGCAGAATTTTTCTCTGGGATGTCCTTGATGCATCCACCATGGTCTTCATGTGCCCCAAGCACGATTTGTTGGTATTTTTTCAATAGTAATGTTCATACTATGGAAATCAGTAATATTGCTAATAGCAATATATGACTATTGATCAACAACCCAGGGCTAACAGGGAAAAGTGAGTGCAGAATTCTTCTCTGGGATGTCCTTGATGCACTCACCATGGTCTTCATGTGCCCCAAGCACGATTTGTTGGTATTTTTTCAATAGTAATGTTCATACTATGGAAATCAGTAATATTGCTAATAGCAATATATGACTATTGATCAACAACCCAGGGCTAACAGGGAAAAGTGAGTGCAGAATTCTTCTCTGGGATGTCCTTGATGCACTCACCATGGTCTTCATGTGCCCCAAGCACGATTTGTTGGTATTTTTTCAATAGTAATGTTCATACTATGGAAATCAGTAATATTGCTAATATCAATATATGACTATTGATCAACAACCCAGGGCTAACAGGGAAAAGTGAGTATGCAGAATTCTTCTCTGGGATGTCCTCGATGCACTCACCATGGTCTTCATGTACCCCGAGGAATGAGACTTGATAAAACGTGCATGTAAAACCTCCTCCTTCTTAACAACCTCACCTCCTCCCCCCTTAACAATAACCCGAAAAAGACATGGACTTTGACAATCATTTTTTTCCGGGAAATAAACAAAGACATATTCGATGATATTATGTTGATGGATTACACACCACTCACTGTAAAAGTAGTAGTAGTAAAATTTCGTTTATTTCTGTTGATTATGGTGTATACATTGATTTTACATTTCAATTGATTAGTCTATCTGGCTCTTCATCTTTGTTCATTGGATATTCTAATTTAGTATTTGCGTATTTCATCTAGTTGACAGAATACCCCTTGGGAGGTGTCTTGTTTTAATTGAAAAATTTGATAACGAGTCTAACTTAACTAACGTACCAGATCACGTATGATCTGAAGATCTGATCTCAGACAGGTGTCTCTGAACCTTTCCAAGGAGACCGTTCGTCGCTCTTCGAGAGGCTGAAGGCCAGCCAGGCGGTGTACCTAAGAATTTCGGGTTCTGGACTGTTTAGGATCATCCCAAGCATCTTGTTCTGGAGTTTTTATGTGTTCCACACTAGGGGCAAGTCAGCTGTACCAACAATCAATACGAAACTAACGATTTTAAATTGGCTCACCACTTTAGTAGCCTATTGGTCCCAAGCAAACGATTAACGTACCCTATTCTAGTTGAAATTCTATTACTACACTATGTTTGTTTTGATTCGCTATGAAAGTTTGACAGATAACATCAGGGGTGTGTGGATTCATGCAGAACATGCAGGGGTGAGTGAAATAGCTTGGGACTGCTTGGGACCGTTGTTCTGGTACTGAGTGAGCCAAAAATAATAATGATTTTCTTCGGGACCCAGTGGTCTTAGAGTTACCTCTATGGCTGTACTCTGAGCTAATATATTAACATTGAGTAACTGTGAGTTACTCGTAGCTACTCAAAAAATAACAAAGTAGCCTTTATTTAACTTTTTTCAATCTGTCGTATTTACAAACAAAATAACGTCAGCCATCATTAACAGTTTTGTTTAGGATTTAGATTAAGATTTCCTTATTAAAGAGACTTTCAGCTGTAGTTTTGCTTAGTAAGTTATTTTTCTCTTAAAAAAACTTTCTTTTTTAAGATACTTTACAAACTGAAAACGTTTCTCTATATTCCAACATCGATCATATGAAACCTAACAACTTATATGGATTTACAGGAATGATTAGGGAATGATTGCATAGTTCGTCATCCTATTATTTGAACATTCGGTAGTAACGACAAGGATGGTGTTTTAACTAATACTCTGCGCTTGTTAAGTTTTACCCTGATTAAAACCCGTTTAATTATTCCCAGATCATCAAGAGCTATTCCTGGTTTGTTTTCATTACGTGTTTGGTAGAATATTCGTAGTATGCTTTCAATTTACAAAGAGTTATTGGCAATGATTTTTCACTTCCACTGCGATATCTGGAATAATTATATGGTAGAAGCGACTTGTTCCTTAGTAATGGCTGACCAAAGTAATTAAAGTCATTCAAAATGCAGGGAATGCAACTGATACGCTAGAATATAAGAAAAGAAGCTTACAAAATTGTTTTGAACTTACACCGGTGTAACATATGTGACACATAACTCGATCAAAATTTTTCTCTCGTTGACTGAGTTGCTGCGATATATATTGACATGTTGACAACGATATTCATCATTGAGCAGCGCGAGTAACTCAGAGCTACTCAAAATTTGCTAAAAAATTACTCATGATTTAAAGCTGTCTGGCCCCTAGGTTCCACACATTAATTGTTGCAACGTGATCAACAAATCAATATCCATGTGTCGTCCACACACGTAATATATGTACATATAAAAACCACAAAACCATGCGTGACCACACATACTATTCATTTGCGTATAAGTATCATGTGTACTTCTGAGTGGATTCTGTTTATGTGTGGTCAAATGAAAATCATGTGGAATTTCACATTAATATATTTGTCAAGAAAAATGTTTAAATTGTTTAGAGTGAACCATAACCGAAACATTGAAATACTTGAAAATTTTAAGATAAAGTTCTCCGTCATACTGCGGTCGTGTCTTGGACACAACCCTTTAATTTTTTTATTTATAATCATGCAAATAAATGGATCAATTTAGATGCTTAAGTTTTGAACCCACCGCAGCATGCTTTTGACATCATGCTGTATATGGACGATCAAATGTAAAATACTGTGTCAAAACTTCAGCATTTTCATTGATCCATTACGTATACTTCTTCGCCCATCATACGCTGTCCTTTTCGCAGAACGAGCCGTGCATCGAATGCGCGAGCATCTTGCATGCAAGTAAACAATATTTAGTTTATCACGGGAGCCCCTCTCATTTTCTACGTCCTATTGCTCGCGCGGTCCGGCTGTTTGCGCATTTAACTTGGCTTAAGTACTCCATGAAAAGTTGCCACTAGTGACAAATGACCGTGAAAAAAAACAAGCATAATACGACTGAGAGAGAAACAAGAAAACGATCCTCAACGGAATGTAAACGTACAATGACGAGCAATAATTATTATTCATTTTTCTATAACCAATTGTAGAAAATAACTAAATTATGTGTTCCTAGTGATACTGTAATAGTGCCTTATTCAAGTTGTGTATTTACATATTTACAAATGACTTTGAGTCCTAATTAAAGTCCTTGAAATCAATTTTGCTTTACTGCGTCGTTCGTTTACCTTTCGTTCCGTGTCATTGATCTATGAGCGTTTTCTTGCTGTTTAGAGCAGCGCCCAAAGTAACGATTTTGTTAGAACGACAGCCTGGTCATCGTCTGGCCCTACAGACTCGCACTGACTTCCAGAGTACTCTCCCTTCTCTGCGCACCTTGGTGAGCTCCGGGCATGTGTGGGTAAGCTGGCTGTCGATTTCTCGGGTGATAATCTTACTTTTTGCGTAGCTCCTAACAAAGCTCATTACAAACAAAAAACAAAACTTATCCAATACAGAACTTAAAGCTTTTTTTTTTTCTTTCATTTTAGGTTTGAAGCAGTTCTGCAGGAATTTCATCGAGGAGCAAGGCTAATGTTGCTTGTACTATTAAAACCTGATTTTGAAAACAACATCACCTGCATCACTCGGGTATCCAAACCTAAGTTTGTATTTCTCGGAAAAAAAATTCATAGTAACTGTGCCATAGGTAGCGACAGACATAGCTTTAGAAACAGCTTTGATTATTTCTTTTGAAGGTCACTAGCATGGAACACGCCTAAGAAGTTTCCATGCATATCTTCAAGTTCATAACATGAAGACCCGATTTTTCCGATCACTTTGGCTGGCGAATATGGATCTGCCAATTTTGCCGAAAATTGCTTAGGTTTACTCGACTGGAAGATTTTTTTTTTAAATAATATCTCCCCTATTTTAAAGTCTGTATTCATTTTGTTTGAGCGAAGGTTATAATGTTTCGCGTACTTATCATATACTTTTTTGCATTATGTGACACTACCCCGAATGTCACTACCCCGAACGCCATAACCCCGAACGGTACACTACCCCGAACACCGTTACCCCGAATAGTACACTACCCCGGGCCATTACCCCGAATGGCCACTACCCCGAAATTAAGTCAAATGGAAGAACAGCAAGGGATCAATAGAAGGGTAAATTTTTGAGAAGGAAATTTCCTTTTCTAATTTATACTGAATACAAATGATAGGATTCTATAACATTCCCCAGAAAAGCATTCCCCAGAATGCACCATTCCTCAGAAAAGCATTTCCCAGAATGAACCATTCCCCAGAAAACCATTCCCCAGAATGTACCGATCCCCAGAAAAGTATGCCATGTATTAAATTGACTATTTTTGTTTATTATAGTCACTCATGGAATCTTCTTTCGCGTATATAAAAATAATAGAAAAACTTCAATGGCTCAAGGGGGTTTCCCATCTTTGAAAATATAACACTAGGAAATAATAGGAATATTCCCTTCTTTTAATATACAAAAGAGAACATAATCAATTCGTTAAATATATGATAAAGAAGGGAATATTCCCTTCTTTGAAAATATAACAAAAGGAAATAATTAATTCTTTGGATATGCGATAAAGAAGGGAATATTCCCTTATTTGAATATATAAAAAAAGAACATAATTAATTCGTTAAATATATGATAAAACAGGGAATATTCACTTCTTTGAAAATATAACAAAAGGAAATAATTAATTATTGGATAAACGATAAAGAAGGGAATATTCCTTTCTTTGAATATATAAAAGAGAAAATAATTAATTCTTTTGATGTATGATAAAGAAGGGAATATTCCCTTCTTTTAATATATAAGGAAAATATGTAATCAATAGCTTTTGGCAAGAAATTCGGGGTAATGACCATTTGGGATAATAACGTGTGGAATAATGTTATAAATTTGTAATCGATAGTTCAACGTTCCATGCACCGATTTTTCAATCCATAACGAGAAATTCTTCAACTCAGGTCGAACAATTCTTTGATAAGGTTTAACAGTTTCCGACTGGTTGAATTGGATTGCATATTAGACCCTTTGACTTTTTAAATGGTGAACGAAGTGCTCGAAAACTTGAAGGTTGTCATTTTCTAAAGAGCTTTAAAATGGTTTGGAATTGATAAATACATAGTTCCATAAAAGTAAACTTAGTGTATCATCAATTTAGTAAAGTGAAACTAATCAGAGAGTTTAATCATGAAAAATATATTAAACAAATGTGTAAAATTTATCGAGAAAATTTGTGTTCGAATCACTCAGTTTTACAAATTCGTTTCTGTGCTCAATCTTTATTCACCACAATACCGTAGCACAACGGGGACATATGCACTATGGCAGGTAAGTTTCTTGAGGTTTTTGTTCTCCTTTTAGCCTTCGCGGGGGCTCACAGCACAAGTAAGTATCTTACGATAATCTTAGTTTATTTATTTATCACTTCACTAACTTCAAATATAACTACTAACTTTATTTCTAATTACTACAAATAATTCAAATTCAATTTTTATGACTTCTCTACTGGTTCACTAGCGGGTACACTTGATGACAATGATGATGATGGGCGTCGTGTTGTCACTTTTACTGATCCTCGAAACAATCTTGGTTCGGCTTTTATATCAGGTCGTCTTCTGTTTGGTTCGCCGGAAGAGTTGAATCGCAAAATCCCGAAGGGAGCCATTGTCGATGAACGAGATGGTTGGTGCTAACATGCCGCAAATATTCACACCTAGGTGACGTGACGATGCTATTTTCGTGATGCGAACATCCTGGCCCCTTCAGAAATCACATTTCTGATAGTCGAATACTCGGTCGAATCGATTTGCTCACGTTCGTATTGTGGTTCCCATTGAAGATGTGTGGCAGCTGTCATCGGTCGGCTCTTCTCGTCTTGATCATTCTCGGAGATGACGACAATGACATCGATGATCATCAGCAGGAGTAGAATGTAAACATGCAAAGGAAGACCCGGTAGAGGGTTTCGTAAATCTTATAAATTTGGACAGGTTCTTACCTTGTCCCTTAATTCAAAGGGCCTTGTATTTCATTTTAGGTGATCCGGACGGCTACTATCAACAGGAACGAGGAATGGGCCAGCATATTGTTGCAAACGGTGAAGTTTAAGGACTCAAAGTTGGATAGTTGATGTTGCACTTGGACGACGAGTTCATTGTTGTGTTGATTTGGTCGCTGCTTTTGCTGGTGGATCGATGGTTATATCTTCTGTAGGTGGAATTGGCAGGATGCAAATTTTTGCTACGGGACGAGTAAAGCGACCGGTTGGTGTCTGAACGATCACTACCCGTGTGATGCCATCAGAACCCGGATGAACGTCGACGATTCTGCCCATCGGCCACGACATTGGAGCCGAATTTTCATCCTTGAGGAGAACCAGTTGATTTTGCTTGATGGTGATCGGTGGACTGCACCATTTCGAACGGGATTGAAGTGTAGCCAAATATTCGGATTGCCATCGTTTCCAAACCAGTTGAAAAATCTTCTGTGTTTGCTCCCATTGTCGCAGACGGTTTAGCGGAACTTCGGTGACGTCGGTGTCAGGAATAGCCTTGAGCACTGATCCAACGAGGAAATGACCAGGCGTCAGTGGCTCGAAATCGGACGGATCTTCGCTGAGTGGAACGATGGGACGAGAATTCAGGCAAGATTCGATTTGAACTAATAGCGTCTCCATTTCATCATGTGCCAGAGTTCGAGTGCCGAGTACACGGATAAAATGCTTCTGTGCAGAACGAATCGCAGCTTCCCAAAGTCCACCGAAGTGTGAAGCCTTTGGTGGATTAAAATGCCAACGGATTCCTGTACTGGTGCATTCTTGTGCGACGGCCTGACGATACTCCTTACTGCGGACCAATTTTCGCAGCTCGTTGGCAGCTCCGACAAAGTTGCGACCGTTGTCACTGTAGATATCGCTGCACAGACCTCGGCGAGATACGAAGCGACGTAGTGCTTGAAGAAATTTAGCCGTACTCAAGTCGACGACCAGCTCAATATGTACGGAGCGTGTTGAAAAGCAAACGAACACTGCCACGTAGGCCTTTTGGGGTGCTGCCCGACGGTGTATGGGTTGCAGCGAGATGGGTCCCCAATAATCAATACCGGTCACGGAGAACGGTCGAGATGCTGTGACGCGTGGCGACGGTAGTTCAGCCATGAACTGTTCCAGAAGTTGCGGACGTGCCCTAGAGCAAGTGACACAGTTGCGGTAAATGAATCTGGCAAGACTTCTGGCCCCTATGATCCAGTACCGCAGACGCAAAATGGCAATGATGAGTTGTGGAGCAGCGTGTAGGTGTTTTTCGTGGCATGAACGAACCAATAGCTTTGAGAGAGGGTGAGAAGCTGGAATGATGATCTGGTGCTTGCTATCGTAAGGCTGTGGCGCTTGCACAAGACGGCCACCAATGCGAATAAGCCGATCGTCCGACACAAACGGATGAAACCAGCGCAAGCGGGACTTCACTGAAACGTGCATGAATTTCTCGAGATCTTTCCACTCCTCAATGAAGGTTTGTTGCTGAACCAATCGAATAAGAGTAGCCTCTGCTGCTTTTTTCTCATCCGATGTGACGTAAGTTGAATGGTTGCTTGCTGCGTTTTGGCGACAATTGTGGATGAATCGACGACAGTAAGCGGTTACTCTGAGCAAACGGTCGTAGTCGGAGAACTTTGTTGAGAGTTGATCGACGAATGTTGGTTCAGAGGATGCTGTGCATACAGTTTTCGGCTGTTTACCTGCTTCTGCTAGTGCTTCGGTGTTGGGTGCGATTTCATGCTGCTTGATCGGCCAAGACGTTTGAGCGAGTTGCAGCCATTTCGGCCCGTGCCACCAGAGTTGATTGTCCAAAATATCTTCTGCTGCAATTCCTCGTGATAGGAGATCTGCGGGATTCTCTTGCCCAGCGACGTGATGCCAGGAACAATTTTGCGTAGCTTGCTGAATTTTAGACACGCGATTCGCGACGAAGGTGGTCCATGTTGACGGCGTAGCATTCAGCCAGCTGAGAACCGTCGTCGAATCAACCCAGAAGAATGTTGCACCGGGTAGTTTGAGTGATTTCATGACCTTTTGATAGAGCTGGGCTGCAAGAAGTGCCCCACATAGTTCTAACCGAAGAATGCTTTGCTGCTGGAGTGGTGCTACTTTAGACTTGGCTGTGAGAAGGGCTACCTTGAACGATCCAGAATTGTCTGCCGATCGGATGTAGCAGCACGTGCCGTATGCGTGCTGAGAAGCGTCCGAGAAGAAATGGTATTGAACGAATGCTGGTTTTGCTGAGAGGATATAGCGCGTGATCCGTAGGTCATTGAGAAGCGGTAATTGCGATGTATAATTATGCCAACGTTCCTTCATTGGCATTGGAAGCTCTTCGTCCCAGCTCCACCTTCTTCCGCTGTCATCCTTCAACGTCCAGAGGGCTTGCATAAAAATTTTAGCGGAGATAACGACTGGACCTAGTAAACCGAGGGGATCAAAGAGGCGAGCGATTTGTGATAATGCTTTTCGCTTAGTTAGTGAAGCATCAAATGTGTCAGCTGGCAGTTCAATACGGTACTTCAGCTGATCTGACGCAGGTTCCCAATGAAGACCTAACGACTTGATGGATTGGTTATGATCCAGTTCAATGGAGGTCTTTAGTGCTCGATTTTCTGGAGCGATACCTTCCAGAACAGCTTCTTCGTTAGATGCCCACTTTCGAAGTTCAAACCCGCCTTTGGCCAGGAGTGCTTCTAGCTGCTGACGGAGCTTAGTTGCTTCTTCGACGTTGCGTGCGCCCGAGTAAAGATCGTCCACGTAGAAGTCCTTACGTAAGACTTCGGCTGCCTCTGGAAAACTGTCCTGTTCGTCATCTGCAAGTTGCAGGAGGACACGAGTAGCGAGAAAGGGTGCGCTTGCAGTGCCATAAGTTACAGTTAGCAGCTCATAAGTACCCAGAGGTAGCTCCGATGATGTCGTCCAAACAATTCGTAGAAGCGGAGTGTCACGTTCGTCTACGAGTACTTGTCGGTACATCTGCTTGGCGTCAGCGATGACCATTATTCGACGGATCCGGGAGCGCATGATGATTGACCGAATCTCTTGCTGCACGGTTGGGCCTACCATAAGTGCGTCGTTGAGCGATGGTCCCTCCGGAGTCTTGCATGATGCGTCGAAGACCACTCACAGTTTCGTCGTAGTGCTCTCTTCTCTAACTACAGCGTGGTGAGGCATATGATAGCATGGAGATGGAGGCGACTGGTAGTCAAACACCTGCTTCATGTGGCCCAAAGCAAGGTATTCGTCCATGAAGTCACGGTATTGCTGTGCTATGCCTGGGTTACGAACAAGTCGACCTTCCAGCATTCGAAAACGACGGACGGCAGTAGAACGGTTGTCGCCAAGTTGTTCGATGACGTTTTCCTTCACGGGTAAGCGAACAATGTACCTTCCCTCAGAGTTGCGCTTCACGGTGTGTCGAAAGTGTTCTTCGCAAGCGGCTTCTTCGACGGAATGGTTTGGAGTGCTTTTGTCTTCTTCGATTGACCAAAACTTTTCGATGAGCTTATGTAAATCGGTGATCGTTGCAACATTGGCGATGATTGGAGGCCTCGAAGTGCCGTGCGAAGTCTTTCCAGACACTATCCAGCCAAGGACTGAGTTGACCAAGGTCGGAAGGGATTCACCAAGCTGAATGCGACCTGAAACTTTAAAGAGCTCAAAGAATACTTCTGCGCCAATGATAATATCCACTGGATTTAATTCGTAGAACAATGGGTCGGCTAGCTGAACACCGGGAGGAATGGTCCAAGAAGAAGTGTCTACTTGAACAGAGGGCAAATCGATGGTGACTTTGGGCAGAACAAGGAACTCAGCAGAGGTGGAGTAGTCACAAACCCTTGATTGAATCGAAGCGACGATCTTGTACCGTGCGTACGTTGATGATTGCCCAATGCCACTGATCGGAACGGATATTTTTGTGCGCTGAGATTTGATGACTTGCGAGAGTGATTCGGTAATGAAGCAACATTCACTACCGGAATCGAGAAGCGCTCTGGCAACATGTTCAGTGCCGTTGTCGTCCACTAATTTAACGACTGCGGTAGCCAAAAGTACGCCCTTTCGTGCTTGACCGGTGCTTGCATGGCTTGAAGGTGCGGTGACGGTAGCGGATACAGATGCTTTCGGCTGTTCGAGTTTCGCAGAGGATGCTGTAGCTGTTGATTGAGGACTTGGTTGCCTGGAGCTTACAGAGGCAGAATTCATCCCGGAGCAGAGCTGTGTGTGGTGACGACCTCGACACTTTCGGCAGGAACTGGATGACGAACAGTCTCGAGCTTGGTGACCCGTGCGCAGGCAGTTACGGCATAGTTGATGGCGGCGAACTTCCTTTTCCTTCGCTTCGACGTCGAGTTTTGAGAACAGCTGGCACATATAGAGTGGGTGATGATCAGAACACACGACGCATTTCCGACCAGCTTGAACTTGACTGGCCCCATGACTAGCAACGACACGTTGACTGGATCTTTTCATCTGTTGAGTGGATGCTGGAGTATCGACAGCTTTTCCCTGGATCGTTTGCAGAACATTCACTCTTCGCTGGATAAAGGAGGTCAGATCCTTGAACGTCACGTCTGGTTTAGTTGAAGATAATTCCTCCCAGTCCCTTCGAGTTGTGGGATCTAGGCGGACGCTGAGCATACGGATCAGAATGGAGTCCCAAAACTCGGTTCTCTCACCGAGCTGCTTCAACACCTTCACATTGGCTTCGAAGTTCTCTACCAGCAGATGTAAATCGGCCGCAGATTCGCGTTTCAGGGTACCGACTTCGAAAAGAGCGTCGAGGTACGATTGTTTCAGACGCGAAGGGTTTTGATAATGCTCAACCAGCAGATTCCAGGCCACGTGGTAGTTATTGGCACTGATGGTAATCGTTTGAACCAGTTTTAAGGCCTCTCCAGCCAGAGAGGAACGAAGGTAGTAAAACTTCTGGATGTTAGATAATTCGACAGAAGAGTGAACCAGAGAGACATACAGATCATGGAAATTCAACCAGGTGTCGATGTTTCCACTAAACGTAGGAAGTTTTATGTCGGGTAAGCGTACATGCGACGATGAACCATGGACTTGTGAGCTTGAAGAAGAAGACGTAGTCATGGACGTCGATAGCGGAGATTTATTTTTGGATAGCAGAAGACCTTTCACCCGGTAGTAGGCAGTTTCAAAGTCGACCCGTTCTTTAAGCTGCTCGTCGATCGTCTCATCGACGGATTCAAGCTCTGATTGAGTGCTCTGAAAGTCGGTGCACACCTTGTCGAGGTTCTCAAGGCGTACCGGTATCTCGAAGGCATCCCTTTCTTCCTGGTAATTGTTAACGAACGTCTTGATCAGGTTGAATGAGACGGTTAGGCTCTTCAGCTTGGTCTTCAATCCCTTGATGCGACGTTCCGTTGACATGATGAACGGCGACAGTGGTCTACAAAGCGAAAGACCGCGCAGATCACACGAGAAAGAGTAGAGGAAATAGGAAATCTAATTACCTTTGAAAAGGCAAAATGTGCCTTGTATAGCTATTCAATTAGCGAAAGTGATGGCGGATTCCAAAGCTACTTCGCGATTGTTCCACGGACTATGATGGCGGACCGTGCGCTAGGTGGCTTGTAGTAGCGATGGCGGTTGTCTCACAATGGACAGTTACCGGAACGGACGGAGTTCGACGGTCGTAATCCGGCTCGAAGGACCATATGTTCGAATCACTCAGTTTTACAAATTCGTTTCTGTGCTCAATCTCTATTCACCACAATACCGTAGCACAACGGTGACATATGCACTATGGCAGGTAAGTTTCTTGAGGTTTTTGTTCTCCTTTTAGCCTTCGCGGGGGCTCACAGCACAAGTAAGTATCTTACGATAATCTTAGTTTATTTATTTATCACTTCACTAACTTCAAATATAACTACTAACTTTATTTCTAATTACTACAAATAATTCAAATTCAATTTTTATGACTTCTCTACTGGTTCACTAGCGGGTACACTTGATGACAATGATGATGATGGGCGTCGTGTTGTCACTTTTACTGATCCTCGAAACAATCTTGGTTCGGCTTTTATATCAGGTCGTCTTCTGTTTGGTTCGCCGGAAGAGTTGAATCGCAAAATCCCGAAGGGAGCCATTGTCGATGAACGAGATGGTTGGTGCTAACATGCCGCAAATATTCACACCTAGGTGACGTGACGATGCTATTTTCGTGATGCGAACAATTTGTATTCAGAAGATGTATTATTCAGTATGCAAGATACTTGCGGACCTGTATATTTATGGACGCTTTACATTAGAAAAATCATTGTGCCTAAAACTCTGAAATATTCGGAAAGGATTAAGCTTACTACGTTTTTCTACGTCAATGGATGGAGAGATCCATATTCAGGGCCTTACATTGGCGCTTTGTAATAAATAAAATATGTATATTAAGCTGTTCTGTAATATAAAACTGAAATATAATATCAAATGACCAAAAAAAAAAAGTGATAAATTACTAATTTCATCGTCTTAACGGCGCCGGTGGTGTAGTGGTAAGCGTGATTGAAAATAGATCGGTAACTACTAACAAAACAGAATTTCCATTTCGGGACCTGGGAAATGGCCCTACGAAATCAACCGAAATTATTTGCCACGGCAACGATGCCAGTTTTTGACGACCCTTTACTCGCATCCTTGGCAATATTTTCGAACGTCCTCCTCCATTGCGGACCAATAATATTTTTCTACGTCTTCAATCGACCGAAGTGAGTACTGTCGTGTGCCTCTTTCAACAGTTCCAGTCTTTCCCCTTTTTGTGGCACATATTTCCAGTGAAACCTGGCGTCTGTTAACTCCGAGGCTACTAGTTTATATATTCGATTCCCAATTACTCTAAAGTTTTTTTACATAACTTTATCCTTGCTTATTTTCTCTTTTAGGCCTTCATATTCTGGATCCAGGATTGTTAGTTGGTTGATGGATCGCGACAAGGCATCCGCGGTTACGTTTAATGCTCCTTTTCGGTACACGAGCTCAAAATCGTACTGTTGAAGTTTGAGAGTTCAACGGATGAGTTTTGCTGAGCCCCCTTCTGCACTTATCCTGCGAAGCCAGATAAGACTCTGTACGTCCGTGATTACGCTGAATTTCGATCCTTCGACGTAATGTCGGAATTTTTCTATCGCCAGAATCACACCGAGGCATTCTTTCTCCGTCGATGCACACTTTTTCTGCGTCGCGGACAATTTCCTTGAAAAGAAGGCTATGGGTCGTCGTACCCCTTCAAGTACTTAGATTAACACCGCTCCGACGGCCACATCCGATGCGTCCGATTCTATTATAAACGGCTGACTAAAATCGGGATTCGCTAAAACTTTCGGCGAGGTAAGATCGATTTTATTTTAAGGAATGACTCGTTCGCTTCTTTGGTTCATGCCATTTTTCCTTTTGCTTTTTTAAGCAAATCCGTTATTGGGGCGGTCAACTCGCTGAAGCAATTTATAAATTGGTTATAAAAGCTGACCATCCCTACAAATCTTCTTACATCCCTCGGCGTCTTAGGTGTAGCATAATCAAGTATTGGTCGTATTTTTGCACTGTCTATAGCTAATCCGTGCTCAGACAAAGTGTATCCCAGATAACTGATTTTCTTCTGACAGAACTTTGACTTGCTAATGCTGATGGTAAGATTCGCTTTTTCTAATCGTTCCCTAATCAACCGTAGTAGACGAAAAAGCTCCGCTAGAGTTTTTGAAATTACTATTATGTCGTCTAAATACACATAGACGTGAGGCTCTAAATCGAACCCCAAAACTTTGTTCATTAGCTTCGTTTGGGTGATTGGCGCACCCTTTAGCCCAAAAGGCATCACCTTGAAGCGAAAAAATTGCTTGCCCGCTCTGAATGATGTAAAATCGCGACTGGTTTCTTCAAGGGGAATTTGCCAGGAAGCTTTCAAAAGATCAATGACCGTAAAGTATTTTGATTTGTCTAAACGACTTAGTATTCCCAACATATCCGGGAAGGGATATGCTTCGTTTTTTGTAATCTCGTTAACCGGTAGTAAAGGATTGCACCATTCGGCGCAAGACTCTTCAATTATGTCTAACTCTAGCATTCTAGCAATTTCCTTGTCCACCTCTTTTTGAATGTGAGGAGAACAGCGATACTGAGGTGGTTTTTTAGGTTTTGCACCAGCTATTAGCGCTATTTTGTGGGATAGAAGATTTGTTCGTCCTAATTGTCCTCCATTGATGCATTTGAACCCGTTTACAATTTCCTGCAATTCTTCTCTTTCTGCTGAGGATAGTTCATGCTCCGTAATAATCTCTTTAGCTTCTTCGTTTTCAGTGTTTTCCGCAAATGGTAGCTCCAGGCTTAAATCTTCCGTTATCTTCTTTTCCGGTAGTTCTGGTCCATCGGGTTCTATCGCTAGGATGATTGGCTCGTGATCACTAAAATAGTTTTCGATCACATGAATACTATCATCTGCTTCTTCCCAAGACAGCTTTCGAATATTCCCGTTTTCGGTGATGGCTGGGGCTATTTTGAAAGACTCCCAGAAATCAATTCCAAGGATCAACTGTTTAGCAATTTGAGGGACAAGTAAGGTCGGTACAACTCTTGTCGATCCATTATACGTGTAGGGAATGTGTACTAGCCCTTCACACTTATGTGCTGTTTCATCCGCAGTTTTGATTTTTATGTTAATTGGATGGATTTTAAAATTATGTTTTTCAATTATGTCTGTCGAGCTGAGGAAGCTTGCGCTAGCTCCAGAATCCAGAAGGGAATGTACTTTTGATCCCAAGATGCTCACAAATATATGTGGACATTTTTGAGGTCTAGTGTTTATTTGAAACGAAGTTGCAAATTTTGAAAAAGAACTATTTGTCAACTTGTCCTGAGCATTCCACATCAAACGCTCGACTGTTTCGGTCAAGTATTGCTTGCTTTCCGTAATCGGTACTAGTTTGTTTCCCCTATTGAGGTTTTTTTTTTCAATCCGCTCTCATACTGAGTGGTGTTGTAGTGTACAACAGTGTAGTGAGCATCGCGGAATTGTAATTGCCGCTCAATCGTTCGAGAAAGGAAGCAGTCATTTCCGGCCGAGTCCGCAGATGAGCTGTACATTAGAGTGATGCAAAATTTGAAATTTTTGCTCCACAATACTTAAACGATTCCAAATCGGATCCTGCCTAACCTTCAAAATCTTCAATTCTTCAAAATTCAATGCCTAACCTCATCTCTCATTTGGTGAGAAACTGAGATGGCACAAACCATTTCAAATTTGTATGGGAATTACTATGGTAAAAACCAAGATTTTTGTTCATGTCTATCTAATAATTCACCACATCGGTTTGCTTCAAAAACTTTCAACTGTACTTGTAGGAAATTTTCTGAGTTGCAACTTTGCAGAAGACAACTTTTTGATTAAATGCAAGGATCGAAAGTTATCAATGGTTCAATGCGCTGATGTCTTATGATCATGCTCAATCAACTGCTCAGCAGGCAACATTGGTGTTTCTGGGGCGTTGAATAGGACACAAAAATCATGGCTACTATGCCACACTGCAGAGCAGCTGCTTGATCATGTCATAAGTTTACCAATCTCTTAAATAATTAATAACATTTTCCTGTCTCGTTTTACATAGAAACGATCTTGAGCAAACTTGTAGCTGAGAAAATTTTCTTTAAGAATGGCTATCGAACTGTCTCGCAGCTCAATA